TCTGACTCTGGAGGACTCTGGTTCAGGTTCCAGACCCAGGACCTGAAAGCGGCTTGCTTTCTCACTTTCTCTCTCTCTCTCTCTCTCGTGAGTGCACCTGCCCTGTAACAAATTAAGAGAAAATATAATAATAATGATAAATAAAAATTTTAAGCGTGTTTCCCGTGTTGCTCTGACGGGACATTTTCTATTTATCTATCGTTACGTTCACTAACTTTGTTTTCTACCATCGCCACTCTTCTATTAAGCCCCTCCAGTGGTTTTTCTTTTTTTACTTTCAAATATTGTATCTTTCCATTCTAGAATCTAAATTGGGTTAGTTTTAAAGTTTCTGTTTATCTGCTTATGTTTCCTATAATTTTCTTTTTTATGAGCATATTTTCCTTTACATTTTTAAAAAGAATTATTTATTCATGTTTAAAAGTTATTCATTCGTTTATTTTAATTTGACTAGAGAGAGAAAGAGGGCAAGGGAGAAAGCAAGCCAGCAGGCCCAGGACTTGAACTGCGGTGGGCCATGTGGGTTGAGGACTTTTTCTCCCTTTACCTGGACGTGGACCCTGTTCCTCGTCCTGCCTTTCCCCGCATCAGGACAGGTCCCAGATTGCCCGCAGCGGTGCACGCCGCAGCATTGGCTGCTGTTTGCTGCCCACTGGCCTACCTCGACGCTCCTAGCAGCAAAGTTTCTGAGCAAGTGGGAACAGGGGAAAAGCTTGTCTTCTACCCGACTCTCCAATCCTGCATGCATGAAAATGTCATAATCTCAGTGGGGCAAAATAGGGGAGGCTTTGCCTGCTACGATTGTCCCCAGCAGGGAAATGGGCATGTTACGAGACCCTTCAGATGCATGGCTCTCGGGATGGAGGAGGTGAATGTCCATTACCAGAGCAGGCCAACAGTGGTGCCCAGGACACAGATCCATCACAAGGACAGAGCACGCACACGGACCCCTCGCAAAATGACCCATCTCAATCTGCTCTTTTAACCGTAAAAGGAAAATCCACCCCGCATTGACTACCCTCCTGAACCACGGCCGCAGGTTGCTCTTACAGGCTGCCCCCGGCCTCGCTTCCAGCTGCTGGCTTTGTCTGCCGTCCACCCTCCCCTCAGTGTGTACCATCCCGCGAAATTACTTCCCGAATCTGACCCAAAGGTTAGGGGTCAGATGAGGGGTAGCTCACATAACCCTCTCATCTCCACCGCAGCATTGTTCTACCGGACAGGGAACAGCAGAGGCTGGCACCTTTACCTGCAACCAGACCTGTGTGGTCAGCTCTGCCAGTGGCCGGGGCCAGTTCTGCTCCGCTCAGACAGGGATCTACTTGGTCTGCAGTTCCAACACTTCCAATGTCTGTCCCTAACTGGGCAGGAACCTGCACTCGGGCCCCACTCACCCCACAGGTCAACATAGTCTCAGGAAATGAGATGCTAGAGGCTCCCTTGGTAGCCAGAGCCCGGATGAAGCGAGCCATTCCCTTTATTCCTCTTTTAATAGGGCTAGGAATTTCTGCAGGAATCGGAACTGGAATTAGAGGTATAGTGGCTTCTTCCTAGCAGTGCCCCCAACTCAGCAAGGAGATGGCAGAGGGGTTTGAGAAAATAGCTGAAACTAAGAAGACCCTCGAAGATCAACTTGATTCCAATTCCTTGGCAGTAGTACTGCAAAACAGACACGGCTGGGCCTTCTGACCGCTAACAGGTAGCTCGCTCTGTTTCTGGGAGAGGTATGTTGCTTCTACACCAACCAATCTGGTGTAGTCTGGGACGGCCCAGCAACTCATGGACTGGCCTCCAGACATGACAGGCCTCAGCGGATTTCTGAGCAGGATGGAATGGACGCGGGGCATGGGCCCCTCCTAGGACCCTTAGCAGTCATCCCTCTATCACTAGCACTCATGTGTTCTCAGTCTCACCACCTGGCTCATAGCCTCCCCCCTGAGGCCACTTGTCCCTTCCCCGGAGGGCTAGACTTATCATCCACCTGCTTGATGAGCCTCCTTCACTATGACTAATTGAGGAGGCTCAAGAGGGGGAATGATATGCAGTGACCAGAGTTACCAAGCTGATAACCGCCTGTGGCCCCGCAGGCTAGCTGCCCCTCCCAAACTATGGAGCAACCCGAAACCCTGAGAGAGACAGACTTCCCACTTCTTGCCTCTCAGCCCCTTCCGTATTAGGACAGATTCTGAGCCCCTTCCTCAATGGGACACTCCTAGCATGACGAGACTCCCCGTGCCCAAACTCCCCCATAAAAGACTGTGTCCAACTCTAAGAGGGACCAGAGATTCAGAATGTTAACTCCTCCATGCCCACCGACGTAATAAACAGTTCTCCTAATCTCTCTGAGTGCTGTTTTTCATTTCTTGGCGTCCGGTTTTCTACAACATGATAATGCACAGTAAAAGTCAATTTTAAATAGTGCAAATGTGCCAGGAGGCAGTGCCCTCCCACCCTGATCTCCCAGGGCCCACTGGCTCAGGAGACTTCTTTTTCTCATGGTGGTGAGTTATTCCTAAGTCAGACAGCAGGTGGCATGCAACCCAGAGCATTAGGAAAGGGGAAGCGGTGGAGAGTTACTTCATCCTTTCCAGTAACTTCCCCTCCTCCCCACCGGGGCCTTCTCCAACCCCACCTTCTATTCCCTGGCCTGCGCCAAGCCCTCTCTCAGGTCACACATGTCCAGTTCCAGATCCCAGGTCCCAGAGTCTGGGAACTATCTCTGGAAAAGCCCTCACTCCGCAAGCTGCCCAGGCATGATGTGAGTATGGCCCACAGAGAGCCTGGAGGAGGAGGCGAGGGGCGGGGGACAGGGGAGGCAGGACACACACACAGCAGTGTATACACACGGACGGTTAATCCCGAGGGAGCTGGGATTTGCCTGTGGCCTTTAGCAGCCTCCCCTGGGAGCGGCCAGGCTCAGTGCTCTGATCCAGGGAACACATTTTGTCCCCACTTGTACCACCACTGCCACCTCCAGTCCCAGGTGGGACTGGGATTTGTGGAATAGGAAGCAGCTGCCTAGTTTGGGTGAGACTCTCCAGGGAGATAAGGGTGATGTCTTCAGAGGTGGAGGCTGCAGGGGCAGGGTGAGGGAGCGGCCATAAAGGCTAAGGCCACAGTCGCTGGCCCCTGCCTTTGCATGGCCTCTCAGTCCCTCAGCATAACCCGCCCTCACTGCAAGTGTATCTATGGGCCTCCGGCCATAGCCGTGGGCTCATCTTGCCTCTCCCGCTCACAGGTGGTGGCTGCTCCTCTGGGGAGCCCTCCAGGCTTGCCCCACACAAACCTCTGTCCTCTTGGCCCAGCAGCTACCTCAGCAGCTGACATCCCCCAAGTACCCAGAACCGTATCTCAAAGGCCAAGAGAGCACCACTGACATCGAGGCTCCAGAAGGCTTTGCCGTGAGGCTCATCTTCCGGGACTTCGACCTGGAGCCATCCCAGGACTGTGAACAGGACTTTGTCACAGTGAGCTGGCAGGGAGGAGGGCTCCTGCAGGGCCTCTGGGGGGAGAGGCTCCCTGGGGCAGTGGGAGGTGGCTCTGCTCTGAATCCCCCATCTAGACAAGGGATGAAGAGCCCAGTGAGTGGGGCTGGGGCCCAGCTCAGCCAGAGGCAATGGCCTGCCCGGGGCCCGGCCTCCACTGGTGACCTGCCTGTGGCCACCATCTGAGCCCCACAGAGCAAAGAGGGCAACAGGCCTTGGTTTTTGTTTTGTTTTGTTTTTATTTGTGTACTTATTTATTAATTTATTTTAATTTGACCAGAGAGAGACACACAGGGAGAGAGAAAGAAGGTGAGAAAACAAGCCACCAGGTCCAAAACTCGAACCGTGGTTGGCCATATGGGAGTGTCCAGCACCTTAACCACCATGCCACCTGCTGGTTCCCTTTTGTGTTTTGTTTTCTAATTTTGCTTGAGGGCACGTGTACTCACCAGAGAGAGGCCGGGAAGTAAGAAAGCACACGCATACCCCCCTTGGGGGAAGGTCACGCCATCCCTTCTCTTCCATTTCTCCCTCCTTTGAGGATTCTGGACACCTACACACATGTGCCCAACATGTCTTTCAAATCGGGTCCAGGACTCAAACCGCACAGCCACGTGGGATCCAGGGACCTTAACCACCGCGCCACCAGCTGGGGTCCTGCCCACAGTGCTGCAAATCTATAACAAGCCAAGGACTCACACATCGGTCATTAAAAACATATCATCACATATTGAGCTCCTGCTCTGTCGGGGTAGGAAGGTGCGCATAAATAATAATGATTGAGTAACCATCGGAGCTTACCTTAGAGGGGCTCCCGCAAGACATCTTAGGACAAGGGTGCTATTAAGAATAAGGACGTTTTTTAAAAAAGAATTATTTATTTAACTTAGTATTAGTATTAGTGTTGTTATTTTTAATTTGACCAGACAGAGACAGAAGAGAGAGAGGGAAATGAGAAAGCAAGCTGCCAGGTCTGAGATTTGAACTATGGTTGGCCATGTGGGAGTCCAGTACCTTTACCACCACGCCACCTGCCAGCCCAAGGACATATTTTAAATAGTATTTTATACTTTTTGTTGTTTAAAATTTTATTTATATCAAAATAGTACATGCATATAGTTTTTTTTTTTTAATTATAGTATTATAAGGCTCGTAATGAAGTGCAACAGTCTCCAACCTGCTCCTTCTCACCCCTGACTGCTGCTCCCCAGGGACAATCATTTCCAATTTATGTAGCTGTTTCATCTGGTATTTACCTTCATATTTATAAATACACTTATTCTATTTTTTCTATTTCATTGTTACATATTTTCTGTTAACTTCCAACTCTAGAAGGGGAAGACTAGCTTTATCTGTCTTAGACCTTGGCCACCCATATTTCCCCCTTTCCAGCCTCCCCATCTTCTAATATTATCATCTCTAATTAAAAATCTGTATTTGTTGGGACCAGCGTTGTGGTGCACTCCCACATGGCCGACTGTGGTTCAAGTCCCGGACCTGGTGACTTGAACTCATGCTGGATGTGCATGCCTGAGTGCCCAGAATCCCTGGAGGAGAAGGGTGGAGAAGGGATTCCAGTGTGGCCATATCCCTGAGAGATGATTTCTCACTTTCTCTCTCTCTCTCTGGCAAGGCACACACCCTATAGCAAAAATCTCTCCCCCCAAAATCTGGTTTTGGTATTTACATTAGTATGGCTGTGAAACAGTCACATCTGCGCTCATGGTGTGCAAAAACTGTATTTCCTGTCTTCTCCAACTTTTGGTTTCCTAGGAGTCAATATTTACATGGAGTTCTTGGGGGGGGCTTGTTTATTTTTGTTTTGATTTTGGTTTGCTTAGTTTACTAGATTCTCAGCCTTCCCCAGAAACCCTCAGGCACAAGTTTCAATCGGTCAGTCTTCTTTTTTATTATAACATCACGTCTAAAGCTCTCGGTTTGTTTCTCCACTCTGAGTCCTTTGCTCTCCCGGCCTTCCCACCTCCTAGGACTTCCCTTCTCCCTCTGAGGATTTCGTTTCCCTGCCTTGCACTGGACATGAACCTCATATCTCTCTCTTTCTTGGTTTTCTGCCTCATTTTTGAGCAATCTACCACAAGCCGTGTTGCTCTTAGATCATAGAAAGTTATTCTGTTTCGTTGTTTTTTTCTGTTTTTTAAGAGAGATTTTTGCTATAGGCCATGTGCATTCACCGAGAGACAGAGAGAGGCAGAAAGCAAGAAATCACCCCCCCAGGGGATGGCCTTTCTCCTTCACCTCCATTCTCTTCTCGGCATCTTGGGCATACACGCACACATGCCCGGTGTGAGTTTTAAGCCACCAGGTCCAGGACTCGAACTGCAGTCAACTACATGGGAGTCCAGCTACATAACCATTACACCATCTGCTGGTCCCAGATCACAGAAAGTGTTAATTCCAGCCTAACTCTTCCCTTTCTATTGAAGGAGTTCAAGTTCAGGAGTTGGATTCTTCCTTCCCCTCTGCTCCCAGGGCAAGTCAGGTACACACCTCAAGTGCAGAATGCAGCACACTGTTCGTTTTTACACCGTCGGTGTCCTCAGCCTGACTCTGCGCTCCTCAGTAGCAGAACTGGGCCTTAGTCATTCCTGCATCCGCAGTGACTCACATGTGTCTCACACAAGATCCATACATGAGCGTTGAAGGGATAAGTGAAAGAATGGGTAAATCCGAGCTCACCGTATGTGCAGAACACACAGCAGGATGGACTGTGAGTGACGAGTGTTGGGGATCATCCTTGCCACCACTCCTAGAGCAAATATTGGAGAACGTGTAGGGTGAGATGCTGTCCTGGCTGGAAGAACGCACAAACCGTTTTGCAGAAGAAACTGACCTCTTTGGTGAATCAGAGACTCCCTGGGTTACCCGGGAAGTGAGAAGCGAAGTCTAGAATGAAACCAGGTCTCGTCCTCCTCAGTCATGTGATCATTCTTCTTTGCTAGTTGGAGTCTATTTTATTTACTATTCTTGAGAAAGGGTAATACGAAAACTGTAGGGTTTTACAAGGAAGGAGGTGTATCAAGGAAACGTTCCTCTACCCAATGCTCCTTCTGTAAGAGGCAGGCCTTTTAAATGCAGGAGTTATGTTTGTTGATGTTTGAAGGAAAAGATCGATCTCAGGACATTTCCAAGCAAGGCTTTAGGTGTAACTGAGAAACTTCGTATCAACTTTTACCCAATTAATGTGATCATGTGGAGATGGGCTGGATGGAGTCTTAAAAGAATCTGAGACTTGGGGACAATGAGGGAATAGCAAGAACAGGCTACGTGGAGCAATACAAAAGTCCGAAATAAAACCAGTCAAGCAGGGAGCTCTGTGTCCAGGGTAGGGACCGGGCAAGAAAAACAGGCCTGGGCCCTCCCTCTAGTCTGCTCCCCAGCTCGGACTGAGCAGCCCACAGGAAGGGATTTGAGCAGGGGTGAGGCAAAGGACTGCTTTAGAAACTTAATTAGCCCAGCCTGTGTCGTGGCAGTTAAGGTGACTGGATCCCACATGGACAACTGCGTGATTCATGGTCGGACCTGGTGACCTGAGAAACGTGCCAGGCATGTGTGCATTTGTGGCCCAAATCCCACAGAGAGGGAGAAGGGGTTGCAGTGCGATCATTTTCCCTGGGAGGTGCTTTCTCCTTTCCCTCTCTCTCTCTTCAGTAAGCGCACAGGCCCTCTAGCAAATTAAAAGGAAAAAAAAAAACTTACTAAATTAAGCAAAACATCCGGCATATCCACACTGTGCACATTCTGTGTCCTAAGAGTCCCACACACTGTGAGGACTTTGTTCTAAGTTCACGGAGTAAGAGGAAGGGCACCCCCAAAGAAGAGGAGAACGGGAAGGGCGGGTACCTCAGGGGCTCCTCTTGGCCGAGTCTATATGATGTCAGATATTTCCCACAGAACGTTCCTCGGAGCAGTGGAAGATAACGGGGCAGGACCAGAGCAGGGAGAGGCTGCACGGAGGGACTTTTGTCAGTGTGCGAAGTTGTGGTGTCCCAGGCGCCGTGCTGCACACTGGTCACTCAGGGGTGAGCAGGACAGATGCAGAGCCCACCCTACTAGAACTTACAACCCCACGAATCCTTGTGGGAACCCTGGAGTTGCCAAGAAGCTTCCTGGGAAAGGAAAATATCATGATGAACTTTAGGAGATAATTACGGTAGGCTAAAGAGATGTTCTAGTTTGTGGTCTTGTCTGGAAGAAACTCAAGAGTCAGGAACAGAACAGGAAGCTGCTTAAAGAAGGCTCCACTGGGACCAGCAGTTGGTGTAATGGCTACGTTGCTGGACTCCCATGAAGTCAACTGCGGTTTGAGTCCCGGACCCAGTGGCTTAAATTCACGCTGGGTGCGTGTGCGTGCGTGCCCAAGATCCCGAGAAGAGAAGGGAGGAGAAGGGATTGTAGCGTGGCCATCCCCCCTGGGGGGTGATTTCTCACTTTTTGTCTCTCTGTCTCTCTTTCTGGCAAGAGCACAAGCTCTATAGCAAAAACCTCTCCAAAAAGAAAAAAAAAAAAAGAAGGCTCCGCAGGGCAGTTTCTGAGTGCAGGGGTGTGCAGACTTTCCAGACGAGGCTGGAGTCACGCCCAGGGCTGACCCTGTGACCACCAGTGGCGCAGACCCAGCCCCACACCACTGCTCCCCGTTTCCTCCCTCTTCCAGATCTCGGCCCACGGGATAGAGCCAAGCCGGTTCTGTGGCCAGCAGGAGCCCCCTCTGGGCAGCCCTCCTGGTCACAGGGAGTTCGTGTCCTCAGGGAGGACTCTGCGGCTGACCTTCCATGCACACAGCTCCTCCAAGGACAAGAGCACCCCCCTCCACAAGGGCTTCTTGGCCCTCTACCAGGCCGTGGGTGAGTGTCCCCTGGGGGTGCAGCAGGGAGCCTCTGCCCTGGTCATGTCTCCAGGTAGCCTGAAGCACACATGAGAGAGAAAGAGCAAAGCAGAGACGCAGAGAGAGAGGCGAGCACCCTCACAGGGTCCGGTCACTTTTCCTCCTGTCTTCCCTCCAGTCAGCTCTTGGACCCGGTGTGCTTCCGGCTGACCGGGCCAGGGATTCAACCACAGTTGCCGCATGGGACTCAGCTCCTCTCGGGCAGGTCCTTCCCGCTGCAGCACAGAGCCAGCCCAGTGAGCATTTATCCTGAGGGTGAATTCTTAGACATGGAAATGCAAGGTTAGAAATATTTGCATTTTCAGTCTTGATATTGCTAAGCTTCCCTTCAAAAAGGTTTTGCTAATTTACACTCCCGCTAACCATGTGTGGAAGTGCCTCACTCCCACACCCTACTCGCCATGGTTATTTTCGAACCCTTCAAGTATGGACAATCTGATCAGTGAAAACTAGTTCAAACGTCTTTAAAAACATTATGCATTGGGGCCAGCAGGTGGCATGGTGGCTAAGGTGCTGGAATTCCCACATGGCCAACTGTGGTTCGAGTCCCGGACCTGGCAGCTTGCTCTCTCTCTCTCTCTCTCTCTCTCTCTCTCTCTCGCTGTCTTTCTCTGGCAAAACTCATGTGAAAAACTAATAAATTAATAAGTTAATAAATAAAATAATTCATTAAAAAAAAGCACTACGCAGGTCAAACTGGTATTGCCCTGGGCCAGCATCGGCTGCTAGGTTGCTGGTTTGCAAGTCCATTCTGGGGCCCCATGGCTGCTGTTCCCCCACAGCTGTGAACTGTAGCCAGCCCATCGGCAAGGCCAGCGGCAGCTCGGAGGCTGTCGGCACACCTGCAGATGACCCCTCTGAGACCCAGAACCACTGCCAAGAACCCTATTACCAGACGGTACCAGCAGGTAAGTCCCCGCCTTCTGAGGAATAGCTGGCTTCCATCCGCCTCCCCCCCAGCCAGGCCTGCAGCCCTCTGAGCAACTACTCTTCACCTCTTCCCAGTCTGAGCCTGTTTCTTGACTTCCCTTCATTGTGCTCCTCAGGGACACTCACCTGCACAGACCGGGGAACCCGGAAGGACAGACAGGATGGGGAGCAGGCACCTCGGTGTGAGCCTGGTGAGTAGTTACCATCCAGAGCTGTTCCCAGCAGGCCTCGGCTCTAACAGGCCTACGGGGCACGGGGTTAAAGAAAAGCCTTAGAATAGGATGGGGAGATGAAGCAGGTCAGGAAGGAGATGGAATCAAGGCATAGCTGTGGTAGCACAGACACAGCTGCACAATACTGGAGCCATATGGGAGGACCCCAGGTTCAGATCCCAGGTCAACTGAACTTGCCAGTGCACTGGTTGGAGGGAGAAAGGGGGATCATAGCATGGCAAGACCCATCAAAGGTCCTGGTTCCTGTCCCTGTCTTTCTCTTAAGAAATAAGTGGACCAGCAGATGGTGTAATGGTTATGTTACTGGACTCCCACGTAGTCCACTGTGGTTCAAGTCCCAGACCCAGCAGCTTAAAACACTCTTAAAACACACATGTATGTGCGTGCCCAAGATCCTGAGAGAAGAATGAAGGAGAAGGGATTGCAGCATGGC